GGCATGGTCCTTCAAAACATCATGACGCATGCGGATAGGATTCGAGTGGCTCGCCTCCCCGGCAGCCCTTACTTTACAACTCATTGCGAGGCTCAACGACAGCTTGCACGAGATGCTGTCGAGATCCTGCTTTGGGACGGCAACCGCCTTCAAAAAGCTAAAGGTTCTGGGCCGAGCCCGGCCTTGGAATCGCGACGTGAATTTGCAGCATTTTCCGACAAGGTGGACCACATCATCGGCACCTACCAGAGGCGCTTGATCTTTCTTCACTTGGATGGTTGGATCTGGAGTGTCCCACTAGACACTCTGGGCGTCGAATCCGCGACTCACCACTTTTTTATCCCGGCTGACTGGATCAGCCTCAACAACCGGGCTGAGCTGTGGGTGACAAGTCTCGGAGATATAATATTTCCCAAGGGCTCTGAATTAGTGATAGTGAAGCGTGGGCTGGAGCTCGAACGGCCTTCGCCTTTCCCTGTTCGGCCTGGTAGTGATTCAAGATTGCTGAGCAGCTCTCGAGGTCTTGTGAGCCGGGGTCAGCTCTCCTCAATAGGATCAACGCGGAACCCGCAAAGGAGAACCAGCGTTCCTGATTCGAGTGGGCCACCTGAACATGGATCACGGAAGCACAGCATGTAATTAGTGAAATTCAGGGTCGCCATGACCATCGGTGTGTTTGTGACATAGAACCTAGTTTGTGTCTTAACACCGATATGCAATGACGCATTTCAATCGTCTGATGAATGTCTTCGAATCAGGAGTGTTCGGTTCCACCATGTATGCCTGGCTGGGTGTTTCTTATTATTAGGTTCTTTGGCAGCCTATCACGGATGTCAGAGTATGAGGATACTGTGTGCGGGGCATTCACTCCGTCATAAGCAGGCTGAGAGCCAAGACAATGCTCATCCTCCAGCCTTTCTACGGACTTCCCAACTTCAACAGCATGCGAACGAACTTTTGATCATGACAATGATGAACAATTCAGATAAAGATACAAAAATGGACCAGGAAAAAGCAGTGCCGCCACCGATCCCATACACACGCTTCTCTATTCACAAACGTCGGTATATTGTGGCCCTCCTGGGCTACGTGACGCTTGCCTCCTCACTTACGGCAACCATTTATCTTCCTGTCATTGAACTGCTTTCGGGCGAATATAGCGCATCCATACAAGAAATCAACCTCACCATCACTCTATACATTGTCTTTCAGGCAGTGGCGCCAGCCATATTCGCTCCGATGGCCGACTCCTTAGGTCGGAGACCCGTTCTTCTTTTCAGCTTCCTAATTTACGTCAGCGCAAGCGTCGGCCTGGCTCTAAACCGGAACAGCTACGGCGCCCTTCTTTCTCTGCGCGGCCTGCAAAGCTTAGGGGGCTCGGCTGTTCTTGGTCTCGCATACGGCGTCGTCGCAGACATGATCACGCCAGCGGAGCGCGGAAGCATGCTTGGCCCACTACTCGCGACCACCAACCTGGGACCCTGTGTCGGGCCCGTCTTGGGGGGTCTCATTGCGAGGCAGACCGGGAGCTCAGTCTGGTGCTTCTGGACGCTGGCCATCTTTGGGGTCGTGGCCTTCGTTTTGATGGGCTTCACGTTGCCCGAAACGGCGAGGACGGTTGTCGGCAACGGCGCCGTACAAGCCAAGGGCATCTGGAGGACGTGGTGGGATCTCCCATTTGGCTGTTTACGATTTGCGACATTGAAAGTTGGGCGGCAGCTGAATCCTCACACCAATACAGGCGAGGAGCACGAACAGCACACAGGGGTGAACGAAGGGAAGACGGGCAAGGGGAAACTTGCCGTGCCAAATCCTTTGGCGGCGCTCCGCATCGTGTTTTATAAAGACACCTGCTTGATCCTCTGGATGGCCGCCTCGGTCTACACGGTCTGGTACTGTATCCAAACGTCCATACCCATCATCTTTGGCTCGTTGTACGGCTGGAACCAGCTGTATGTTGGGTTGAGCTACCTCGCCGGCGGTTCAGGGGTGATCATCGGAGGGTTCATCGGTGGACGAATGATGGACGCAAACTACAAGCACGTTGCAGGTCGGGCAGGGCTCCAGACAGACCGAGTCGTCGGAGATGATGTGTATCAGTTTCCGCTGGAGAGGGCGAGATCAAGAGGGTCCATCTCGCTGTTCATCTTCTCTGTCGCAGCACTTGTCGGACTCGGTTGGTCTGTCGAGTATCGTGTTCATCCTGCAGTGCCTCTGGTTTTTCAGTTTTTGATCGGTGCGCAAGGAACCATCACGCACCAGGCCTTTAACGCGTTACTCGTCGACATCTTCCCCGACAAGCCCAGCACTGCTGCTGCAGCCGGCAACATCACTCGGTGTGGCATGTCGGCTGCGGCCGTTGCCTGTGTCAATCCGCTAGTCAAATCGCTGGGTTATGGATGGTTCTTCACCATGATCGGGATCATCAGTGGATCTACCGGCGTCGCTGCGATCCTCGTCTTGTGCAGAAGGGGGGAACGCTGGCGAAACCTGAGAAGGCCTTCATAAATACATGTTCCATAGTCACGTGGCCACGTCGCTTCTCACGCCTTGCCACCGGATAGTACATTACTCTAATCCATGCCTCATGTATCGTATACATGAACAGAGAAGAAATCATACCAGTGCGCCGGCTCATGTGACACTTTCAGGACGGTGCAAACTTCTGCAGGTCCTTCTCTAATACTGCCCAAAAGTCAGGATGGAATAGCCCGCCCAACCAATAACTTCCCTGGCGGTCTTTTCCCATCACGATGAAGCAGTTTCGCACTTCGAAAGCACTCTTCAACATGTGCGTATGTTGATACGCGATTTTGCCGGGCTCCGCTTGCCTCCTGCCTCCCGACACACCAGCCTTGACCACAGCGGGCGCAAAATCGATCACGTCGAAGAACCTGGCTTTCCCCCAGTTGGTGATCGTCCCCATAGTCCCGCTTGCCTCTCCGAATAGGGGTATGCCGTGTTTCCTGCTGAGACGGGCAAAAGCAGCACATTGGGCTGGGGTCGTCTGCTGCACAATCGACTGGCGTACTCTGAGCGCTCGGCGACCTAGGTCCAGGCTCTTTGCGTCTTCGGCCGAAAACATCGTATAAGTTAGCATCAAGGTGTTTTGTACGTAGGCGTGGCCCGGCTTGAAGAGGCCCGGCACGCGACCTCGCAGGTCGGCTGCGTTCAGGACTGTATACGGGCGGTTGCCGTAGACCTCGGGAAGCACGCTCAGGGTCCAGGCTGTGAGAACATCACCTTCGCTGACAAATGGGAGCTCCTTGCCTTCGCTTGACGCCTTCAAATCGTCTCTGGCTTGTTGTAGTAGATCGGAAACGAACGAGGCCGGCAGGAAGACGAGCTTGTTTTGGGTCAAAGGGCGGCGAACAATGTCCCAAACCACGCCCAGTACGAACCTCACCAGCGACAAGCCCTGGAGCAGCCTGTCTTGGAGCTCAAAGGGCTCTGTTTCCTCCTGATTCTCGTCGCCCAGCTTGTCCATGAAATCTTCTTCGGCACCGCCGAAGGGAAGGATCTCGTCCTCTCGTCCGGCAACCATGAGTGACCAGGCCTCCATGAGAGAACTTAACCCCATCACGCTCGTCAGCGTGTGAGGCCACGTTAGTGTTACTATGGTCTGGTCTGTGAACGACGTGACAAGGAACGAGCACTGGGGCTCTTCCAGATGGCTGAGAGCCTCGGGTGTGAGGGCCTGGTTCGATGTGGTTTCGATTCCTGGAACTCGTTGTCCACAAGCTGCACGTACGGGCGGTTGCCGGATTTAGGAAGCCGGGCGCCGGCAGGGTGCTCGTTCAGCGGCATGTCAAACGTCTGATGTGTCCACCTGAAGGCGGGCCGTTCATCGGTGAATTTCTCCGGTACATGAACTTCCATCTTTCCTTGTGACTGGGCATCGGTGTGAGAGGCATGCTAAATGGAGGCTTCGGGCTACGAGAGTGTGTAACGTACGTTGATCCGGAGACGACCTCCAATCTTCCTCCACCCGTCCCGTTCCAACAGCTTGGCCAAGGCTTGGCGTAACTTATCGACGTCGAGAACGTCTTCGAACCGTAATAACCATACGAATTTCATCTGACGATAATATGCTTGATCGTCCTGGCGGTGCAGCGGATATACAGTGTCGGTATTAACGATGGGCGGCGATGTTCGCGCCATGAAGCATCTCCAAAGCCACGCGGCGGGATTCATCTTGAGATGGTCTGGCGAAATGACGGGTGCGTAGGAGGTTCCCCGGCGTTGCTGTCAGACAACGTTGTCGGGGAGTCGAGGAGGGGTGGTGGACGCCGTCCTTCAAGCAGCCGGCCATGGAAGCCCTTTTTAAACATGGGAAACTCAACCTTTGGCCGTCGGCTTCGGACTCGCATCAAACAGCTCTTGAAACCACAGCCCCGATGCAGATAATGAGAACGTTGAAGCAAGGGTGCCAGAGCAGCTAGTCGAACCTTGAGCGTGTGACTGAACCTTGAGTAACGTCGATCTTGCAGCTTTGGTCTTTTGCTGCTCCCAGCTTGCGCAACCTGTCGCAGAAGGAAGCATGAAAGACTACAGACCAGGGTCGTAGCGTTACCTGGACGGTAGCTCGGAAACATCGGAAGGCGATTAAGTTAGTTAACCCATAGCGGCAGGTATTATAGTCAAGTTTTCCTCCCCTATCTACATGTATACTACCAAGCACGCAACAACGAGCTGTCAGCGGCATCCCTGCTCCTCGGTCAAGGCCACCAGTAGCACCCGTGTCGCGCTTTCATCAACATGCTCCGCAGCGGTGCTCATCGAGCTTACTGGAGAATGCATATCAAAGTCCGGAATACGGAGGGAAATTCAACCTTTCCAACTGATGCGGAGACATCATTATATACAATTGTGAGTCTATAAGCCACGCCCGTACTCATCATGTCCACCTTGTGCACCGCCTATCCTTACATTGTAGATATCGTTTACTGCTCTTGATGGGTACCCTATACCTTATAGATCTTCCTGTTTTTTCACATCCTCCACGCAATCCTGCCATCGGATATGCCTCATATACAGACACTCGAGCAGAGCGATCAGAGCCGTGCCGCATCCCGTCCCGATCCACAGGCCGTCCAGCTTCAGGTCGGGCGAGCCGAGCTCCAGCCACATGGACAACGGCACAGCGCCGAGGTAGTTGACCAGCAAGACGATCCAAGCGGCAACGTGCTGGCGGGCGAGGCCCCTGAGAACGCCATTGCAGCCGGCCAGCAGCGCATCGAGGACCTGGAACACGGCGACGAAGAGCATCGACCGCGTGGCGATGCGCTGCACGACGTCGTCCTCCGAGAACCACGCGCTGATCTGGTCTCGCAGCAGGAACAACAGCAAGCCGTCAAAGAGGCCGAGGGCCAAGAAGACGACGGCATACAGCGTGACGGCCCGGCGCGTGACATCAACTTGGCCGGCGCCGATGAGGTGGCCGACGCGGGTGGTGACGGCGACGCTGACGGAGAAGGGAATGTGCCACATGACGATGGACACGGTGGTGAGGATGGTCTGTGCCGCGAGATGGTTGGTGTCGATGTAGGAGGTGCTGATCATGAGAATCTCAAAGGCCAGCCACTCGGCCAGGTTGACGGCGGTGCCGGCGGCAGAGAGGCGCACCATGGGGCCCCATCCGCGCAGGGACGCCATTGACCAGCCGCCCCAGCACACGTGTGACCACTTCTGAAAGAAGAAGGTATATGCCAGCAGAAGAAGCGGGCGCAGATCGTTGGCGATGGCCTGACCGAGAGCGGCGCCCTCGACGCCCATGTCGAGCTTGATGGCTAGAAGCCAGCAGAGGACTACGTTGACTGGCGTGCAAATGACCAAGACGACCATGCCGGATCGGAAATCGCCTTGAGCCTGTAAGAAGCGTTTTCCAGCTTCAAACAGGGCGTAGCCAGGCAGCCCAATGAGGCTGATCTGCAGGAAGGTGCCGGCTCTCACGGCAACGTCGTGCTGACGAACGAGGAGCGGCAGGATCGAGGGCGAGCACAGCCAAAAGGCGCCAACAGGGATCATCAGGGCAATCATGAGCAGTGTCATGCGCTGAACGTGCAGGCCGACTTCTGTCAGACGGCCGGAGCCGTATGACTGGGCGCAGAGGGTGTCGAGGGCTGTAGCCATGCCCTCGTAAAATGCCAGACCGATGATATTCATGGTCGTGAGGCCAATGCTAGCCGCGGCGAGGCTATCGGCACCCAAGCGGCCGGCGACGACTGTTGTGATGACTGTTGAAGAGTACTGCGTCTGTCAGTCTGGCGCTGGATAGGGGGTCACAGTTTGGCGCTGGATAGGGGATCAAGGACTGGCAGGTGAGTGAGGTACCTACCTGTAGGAGGTATGTGGCGATAAGAGGAACGGAATAACGGAGCAGCAGGCGGCCCTCCGCTGCGAAGCTGCCCTTGCTCTTCAGAGGCGCTGATGTCGAGCCACCGAGGAGCGGCGCCGTCTCGCTCGGGCTTGGTATGTCATTGGCGGCCATGGCCGGCTCGGCGCGACGCTGTACAGGACTTGATGGTGGCATGCTTTGAGGGTAGGTGATGTTCAAGTTTTCTAAGGCAGTGGACCAAATTTGGCCTTGACTTGCCTCCCTTGAGGTAAACATCTGATGTCGGTGACTAAGCAATGAAATGGCTTCGCGTCGTGGACAGGCGTCTTGCCATGCTCATGTTGTTCGAAGACCTGCATCTTCGTGTATGGCAATGTTTCTATGCGTTCAGTGCCGTCACCAGGCATGCGAATGCAAGAGATTCGCAGTTCTGGGTAGGAGATGCAAGCCTGCATGAGTTCGTCGAACATGGTGGGTGGTATGGCCAGTATTGTCAGCCAAGGAAGGGTTCCTTTTCGTTTTCCTTTTCCTGCTGATCAACCAGGGCAGGTCATCACTGCATGCTGAGGTGCGTTGGACCTAGAAACCACTCGGTCAGCGACTTTAGCGTGTCGCTTCCAGCGGTTCACACGCTATCCAAGTACTTCCGTCAATCCTTCGGGGGCTCGTTCCCCCACGCTCGGCTTGCCAAACAGGTGTACTGTAAGTACCTACCTACGTACCTAGGCACCTTTACCTACCTAAACCTAAGGTACCTAGGTAGGTACCTAGGTAAGGAGGTCGGTAGCTGAGCGGAATGCCAAGCGTCCTCTCATCCAACCCAGCTTGCCTCCGCAACATATTCCCACGACTCCATGCGCCATCGTCAAGTCGTTCGGGTCTGGCATTAGGACAAGCAACACAATGCTGTCGAAAGTGGCTGAAAAGCTTCAGTTTCACGGCGCATCGCAAAAACAGAATGCGTCGGACCCAGAGGCACAGCTGCCGGTGCTTCGTAGCCCGCGAACCCGTCTCATCACACCACGAGCCTCCATCTCAAGCAGCTCATCAACCGCAGCCTTCTTCAGCCATCTCCCCTTTGACATTCGCCGCGAGATACTCGTGCACGCATTTTGGCGCCCAGACCATTCACATAGATCTTGTATACGACCGCCCGCGCATCCAAGGGAAGGCTCCCTCCACCCACGCTCACCGTCATCGCCGCGCGCCACGGCCAACGCTGGCACAGCGCAAGGCTGCGCCTGCGATGCACGCGCTGAGGTCCAAACGGTGGCGGTGGTACAGTTGTGTCTGCCACTCCGATCTGCCGTGCGGAACACAGTCCTGGTCACGTTTTGCCGAGCCGTGTGACGATGCTTGTTCCGACTTCGGTTCCTGCTGCAGCGAGTGGCCTGGCGAGGCGCCGTCCAAGTGTTCCATCGGCATCATGGGCTGGCTGTTGACCTGCCGTCAAGCGTGAGTCCAAAACCCCAACCGCCTCGAATGATACCAGGCTCCCGCCCGCGTCTTTGTCCTGACATGACTTGCGCTGGGGCTCCAGCTACACAGAGGGTCTGGATGTCCTGTGGGGCACAAACACACTCCGCGTCGAAGACATGGTCATCCTCCGGCACGCGCAGGACCTCTTTCTCGCCCACCGGTGGGCGAAGCTCCCACACCTCGAGCTGCGGTGGGCCTTTTCCGTATTCTGGGTATGGCCGGCGTCGTTCCAGACAGACCCTTTGCAGCTCTATGCAGACCACGCAGGCTTCCACTCTCTGCTGGACCACCTGCCGCTTGTTCTCGGCAGCTTGCAGACGCTCTACATCTCATTCGAGGGCACCGGCAAGTGGCATCCCGGACGACCACCGGAGACCGTGCTCGAGAAGGTCCTCGCGCCCGTCGAGGCCATGCTGCGCCAGCTGCCCGCGACCACCTTGCGTGAATGCACCGTTGCCCTGCCGAGCTCCGCATACCAGGTGGCACGGAACGAAGCCGTCCTGGCCGGGTGCACCGTCGGGTACTATTGCAGACGGCAGAAGGAGCGGTACTGGCGCGCGCTTCCCGAGCCGACGGCGGGGTTGAAGTTGAAGGGGTACTGGGTCCAGCTAGGCAAGATTGACATGCACCTCCCCATAGCCTGGCCTTGTTTCGGTACTGGTGCCGGCTGGTCGTGGAGAGATGACTTTGACATCCCAGACGAGGATTGTATCCTCTACGGGATGAAGTCCTGGTGAGTTCACCTACCTACCTCGACAAGGATCTACCTTGACAAGGCGTCGATTGCGATCGTCCCGAAATCACCTAGGCGTCGGCCGAGTTGAGCCGCTCAACCGGCCGGTATCGCGTGTCTCCTGGGACGGCGGTGAATGGGGGGGGCATCCTGCCTGCGCGGATAGGGCTCCTCACGCCCCCAGGACTCTCTCCCCCTCTCCACTGATCACTGTTCAGGGCGCCCGAAGTGGATCGTCGGAGTCGGCCGAGGGCCTACGGTACGTACCGCGGCGCACTGGCACTAAACTCAGGCGAGCTTGCCGAAGCAAGAGTCAGTCATTGGATACGCCAGCATCTTCATCGGAGCTTCCTCCTGTTGCTTCCTCCCGATACTCTCCTCACCAACAAAACCTCCCCTCTTTGCTCTTGCCCATTGCCTTCTCCATCACCCTTCCGCAAACCCATACCAGAGGCCAGGTTGCCTCTGTTCTGCTATCTGTCCGTTCCATTGACTCTTGAAAGCCGTTTCCTTCTCGTCTCTCCATACCCACCATGCACGTCGCGCGTCTCTCGGCTACGAGGGCGTGCCTGTCCTCGACCCTATCAACCAGAGCATCATGCAACAGACTCAGCACTCCTTCCTATCGTGCTCTCTCTCTCCTGTCCACGTCCCGGTCGAACGTGCCGCGCCATGGTCTCCCCGCACGCTCTCTGCCAGCCAGCCGTTCCTACTCCACGGCGCCCTACGCTGGTGCTCCCGGGTTGAAGGACTTCCTCCGCATCTCGGATGAAGTTGCCGAGGCCATTGCCACCAACAAGCCCGTCGTCGCCCTCGAGTCCACCATTTACACACACGGTGCCCTCGGGAATGACTTGGGCCTCGAGGACATTGTTCGTCAGGGAGGCGGTATTCCCGCTGTTTGCGGTATCCTCGATGGCGTCCCCATCGTCGGCTTGACCCCCGAGGAGGTCGCCCGCATGGTTGACTCGGGCAATGCCCGCAAGGTCTCCCGCCGTGATATTGCCTACCTCGCTGGACTTGTGAGACTCAGGCCTTGCTTTGCGCCATGAGCGGCTGCTGACAAAATTGCAGGGTCTTGCTGGCAAGAAGATTCACGGCGGTACCACCATTGCCGGCACCATGTTGCTGGCTCGCCTCGCCGGCATCCGCGTCTTTGGTACCGGTGGTCTCGGCGGCGTCCACCGTGGTGGCCATGACTCAATGGACGTCTCTGCTGATCTCACTGAGCTCGGCCGCACCCGCGTTGCCGTAGTCTCGTCTGGCTGCAAAGGCTTCCTCGACATCCCCCGGACCCTCGAGTTCCTCGAAACCCAGGGTGCTTTCGTCGCAACATTTGCCGACGGCCGCAAGGGTCCTGTCGACTTTCCAGCATTCTGGGCCCGCACGAGCGGCACCCCGAGCCCTCTCGTCGTCGAAAACGAGAAGGATGCTGCTGCCATGATCCTGACGCAAGAAGCGATGGGCATCGAGTCGGGTATGGTCTTTGCCAACCCCATCCCCGAGGAGGCCGCCGTCCCTGCCGCCGAGATGGCTGCCGTCATCGAGACGGCCGTGCGTGAGGCCAACGAGAAGGGCTTCACCGGCGCTAGGAACACGCCCTACGTCCTGAGCGCCATTCGCAAGCAGACTGGCGAACGCAGCACGCTGGCCAACAAGGCTCTCGTTCGATCCAACGTCGCTCGTGCCACCACCATCGCCGTCGAGCTCTCCAAGCTGCAGAGCGGGACACCCAGCCTCACCGCGGCGTAAGTGTGCCCGGTCCGCTCAACGTTCAGGAAGCAAGTCATGATAAGTCGGAATCTGACGGTAGATAGACCAACATCAAGCAATTTCGTATCCGGAATAGACAAACCTTCACCACCCAAACAAACTACTCCAGCCTCTGTTGACACCGTGCCAACCAAAGTAGACATTCTCGTCGCTGGCTCCGTCGCCCTCGACCTCAGCTGTGACTACGCTCCCACCACCAAATCCACTAACCCCTCGCCGAAGCTCGAGACATCCAACCCGGCTGCCATCAGTCAGTCCATCGGCGGTGTCGGTCACAACGTTGCCCTCGCTGCGCACCGTGCCACAAAATCCTCCCTTGTTCGCCTCTGTAGTCTTGTTGGCGCCGACGCTGCCGGCGATACAGTGCTTACTGCCCTTGCTGCTGAGGGCCTCGACACCTCTGCTATTCGCCAGCTCCCGGCACCGCACCGCACGGCGCAATACGTCGCCGTCAACGACGCCTCCAAGAACCTCGTTCTCGCCATGGCCGACATGGATATTCTCTCAGCGAATGCTGTTCCCTCCTCCCAATGGCGCGCCGCCGTCAAGGCGGCCTCTCCCTCGTGGCTCGTTGTCGACGCGAACTGGGCGCCGCGTGATATCCACGCCTGGCTCGCCGCCGGCCGCGCTTCTCGTGCCAAGATTGCCTATGAGCCTGTCTCCACCGTCAAATCTACAGGTCTCTTCCCTCCAGACACGGAGCTTGACGTCTTCCCTCATGCTGCCGTCGACCTTGCGTCCCCGAACACGTACGAGCTCGAGGCCATGTGGACCGCCGCGCGCGAGAACGGACACCTCGCGACGCAGGGTTGGTGGACGGTTGTCGACGCTTTCGGCCTCCTCGGCGCCCGCGATGCCTTTGTGCGTCTCGTCGGTGTCGAGCTCGCGGATGCCGGTGTACCGGTGCAAGCCGTGCAGCTCCTTCCGTACATCCCGACTGTCGTGACGAAGCTCGGCGCCAAGGGCTGTCTGCTGACGACGATCCTGGGGCGGGATGACCCGCGTCTGAGCGATCCCCGTGAGGAGAAGTACATTCTCTCGCGGTCGAAGAATGGGAACCCGCACATCGGAGGCGTGTACATGCGCATGTTCCCTGCCGCGGAGAGAGTGGACGAAATCGTCTCTGTCAACGGCGTTGGCGATACATTCTTGGGCGTCATGGTTGCGGGTCTGGCGATGGGCGGACGCGTGGAGGGCTTGATCGGCGTGGCGCAAGAGGGTGCTGTCTTGACGCTGAAGAGTCGCGAGGCGGTCAGCCCGGAGCTGGGCAGCCTGGAGGAGAGTTTGAGGGATGCTGTCGACCTGTCGAGGAGGGCGTGAGGGAATCTGACGGTTGAAATATTATTGGAGTTTGGGCATGGGACGTGAAGCCTGGGCAAGGCGCGTTGAGGAGACGGCATCATCCATCACCTGTCTGAATGGAGATCTTCAAATAAGCAAAGGCGCAGATACACACACAGATACACACACATAGACACAGTCAGAGACAGTCTCGAGATGATAAATCGAATTGCCATATATATATATATATATTCTGGTTTACCATCCAGTCAATCTCCTCTTGTGTGAAGATCGCCAGACGGCCTCCAGTCGGTTGAAATCCTTGATGCCAGGACCGTATATTCTTTCCCTTCCACCGATGTTACTTTGATCAACAAGGGCCCAGATCGTGCTAGGCACCAAGTCGCCTCCGCAAACTACCCTACTCTCCATTGGTGATGCCTATGTTCGTAAATTCGTTATTCGAGCGTCGATGTCGCGCTCGCCTCGAGGCAGCATGCTCCTCCGAACTCTGCCATTTATATTCGATGGGACGATGTATCGCGTTTTCCGCGTCGTATCGTATCGCGTGTCGATGCATACCGTCCCCGTCATGGAGAAGGACTGACAGATAGAGATTGTCCAGGCTACTAACAAGGTAGTCGGTGCGATGTGCCCAGGGGCTCGGATGGCCGCAAACCGTCAGAACGGCTCTGATGCTCGTCTCCGCGGAGCGCGCCTGACATGACAAGAAAAAGCCGGGCGCATCACTCGATGAGGTCGCCCTGCTTCAGCATGTCACGATGACGAAATGCACAATCTCGGGTACGGTCTCAAGACGGCAGCCTCGACTCCCCTGCAGGCCGGCCCCGCGGGACAAGTGCACGACGCAGAGGTGGCCGTCGGCAGGCCCGCCACGCCGCCCTGCGCCCTATGCCAGCTCAGCAACCCCCGTCTCGACCAGGCCCCTGGCGCTCGACCACCGCAGGATGAGCACGTCGCCAAAGCGGGCGTCAATGGCGTCGTCCGAGTCGGTGCCGCGGCCCTCGACCGTGGCGTCGCGCAGCAGGCGCACAAAGACGGCGGCGTCGAGGTCGGGCCCGTCGATCATGCTCGTCATGCCGGCCGTGTCGTTGAGGTTCTGCAGCTGCGGCGGGAAGCTCGAGAGGAAGGAGGAGAGGTAGTGGTCGTGCAGCAGGGCCTGGTGGCGGGTCGCGTAGGCGAGCTCGGTCGGCGAGAGGCGCGCGCGCAGCGCCGGGCTCGCGAGGTAGTAGAGCGTGTGCTTGTCGATCTGGGAGTTAGGAGGTGTGTGCTGGTTAGCTTCTCGCGCTGACGAGGGCGTGGCACTGGGGTTCTGCTTCATCTTCATTCGAAGGGTACCTTGGCGATCCGCGCGCGGATGTAGCTTCGCACGAGAAACTTGAAGCGCTCGAGCTCCGTCTGGATGACAATGAGAGCAAAGTTGGTCTTGGGATCCATGTCGCCCGTCATGTCCTCAATGGTCTCGATCTGGCGGGCGATGCGAGCGTTGACGCGCTCAAACAAGTTGTCGGGTGGCCATCTGCGACGCGTCCCGTTAGCATTCCGCGACGTGGGAAATACGAGGGTACAAGTTTTCTCCAAAGGAAAAGGACGCACTCGAGTAGCTCGGGGGCAGAGCGTTCGGCGATCCAGGCGCGCGTGAGGGCTTGCAGGTCACGGGTTTCCGGAGGGATGGAGGCCGTCGTCGGGTCGACCTGCTGGAGGATGTCGTCGATATCCATGACGGGGGGAGGTCGTTGGGAGGTGAAGTTGCGGGGAATGACTCAGCGTCGTATCATGGCATGGTCGGTCGGGGGTCGTCGTCGTCTTGGGGAAGAAGGGAGGCGGTGATGGCAGGAAGGGGCGGTAGGAAACGCGCCGCGCATGCAAGGAGAGGCTTGAGATCGGAGGTTTGGCAGTTGGAGGTCGAGATCAACATGGACATGGTGGGGCACGCGGAGGGGTCACTCTGCCCCGCGTTTTGGCCATCTGAGCCGCCACCAGCGTACATGGCCAAGGTTGTCGATGCACAGCACAGCATCAATTGAAACGCCCATTGGAAGATACTATGGCGGCGATTTTTTATTTTTTTTCTCACACTGTTAGCACAGTTTTGGCTTTTTAAATCTTTGTGGGAAAGCCCGGCATGTCACAGGCACGGGCAAAGTCCGCTTGATCATCATTCATTACGAGTCCAGATCTCCCTAGCAATGAAGAGCCAGATCTACAGTGTCATGGCTGACACATATTTCCCTCTACCGAAATACGCCAGAAACCTCCCATGCCTTGGATCTCTACAGATCAAAGAGCTCCTTCAGCTGGCGCGCCGTGTCGTCGGGACTGACGACCGTGTGGCCAACGGTGCGCTCCGACTCGAAAATCTCATAGTCGTTGCCACCCTTGGCCGTCTTGTCGCCAAAGAAGTGAATGGTCGTATACTCAACGCCGCCGGGCTTCCGCGCCTCGTCGTCGAGGTGCTTGAGGCAGTACGTCTTGTCCCAGCCCTGGGGGAAGACATCGAACGACAGCTGGCCGCCGATGGAGTAGGTGAGGCCGAGATGGGCGAAGCGCTCGCGCAGCTTGTCGATGAAGGCGGCGCGAATGCCGTGGATCTTGTCGTACGCCTCAAAGTCGGCGCGCTCCTGGGCCGAGGCGTTACGGCCGACAGGCGAGACGTTGACCATGCCGTTGCGGAACTCGACAAAGGTGCCGCGCTTGACGGGGATGTCGAGGTCGGCGACGTAGTGCAGGATGAAGTTGACGAGCTCCTTGTACTGGTCGTTGCCGATCCACTGCAGGAAGCTGTTGGCGGGCAGGGCGGCGCCGAGCTTGTAGGCGACGAGGCCGTTCTCGGCAAAGTTGAAGTCGAACATGGAGGTGACCGGGGTGCGCGAGGGGTCGCCGAGCTGTTCCTGCTGCTTGCGTAGGTCAGAGCCGCCAACAGTGCCGATGGCGACCTTTGTGCGGAGCTTCGAGAGGAGGGCCGTCAGCTCGGGAGTAATTGCCTGCGACACACACAGACATTATTAGCAAAGCAAAATCCGATCAATATCATATCCCACGAGCAGAATAGGGTTCCTGGGGCATACCAGGCGAGATGGCGTCAGGGTGCCATCAACATCGAAGAGGCAGATGGTGTTCTTGATGGGTCGATCTTCGAGGGGAGGGAAGTCCGCAGTGGCCGTAGCCGTGGCTGTCGTGGAGTCCATTGTGATGGCTGGTGATGGGGGATCGGATCTGGCAGAGAGCGAGTGTTGGTGCTGTGTCTATCAGGGAGTCAATTGTGAGACGAACCGCGATGAGAGTTGTAGGTTCGCTGATCTCGATGCAGGGGCGGTCAGGGAGAAAAAGAAGGACGAGAAAGTAAGGAGAGCTAGCTGCAGCTACCCCGCGCCCACTTATACGCGGCTCAGTCCTTTGGAAATACAAGCTACGAATCTCCTTGTCTAGCACCATAGGCACATCTGAAATCAAATCATCATATCACAATTGGTACCCGGGCAGGTGACACTTTTACACGAGGTACGTGTTCTTTTCTTCTCAAGCTCGTATTGACCGTCACCGCGTCCATCAATCTGGCCAGCTGTCACAATTGGAACGCACTCTAGAACCCTGGCTAGTGCGACCATCTTGATCCTCCCTAGGTAGACATGTCGAGCATTTGAATAGCAGCGCCACAGCCATAAACGGGATGAAGACAATGCTAACTGAAACATGACGCGTATTCTCAAGATGCCAAAGAGACACTTCGCAGCTTTACAAGTGTCAATTGACTGCACCAGACTCTGGCGGAGCTCCCCTTTTGGACTCTCCGCCGAAAAAGACCCCTCACTGCCCCTCACAGAAGCGGAACAGGGAGGCTCTTCAGGGGCTCTTCAGCCCGCGGGGTAGCAAACATGGTGGGGGGGTGGGGACCTGACGTCCTCCATTTTAGACGAGAGCCTGGGCAATCTTGAGCGAAGTACAGGAGCCGGCTGGCGAACGGGCTATACCGATTTGTTGCAAACCCCCCAAATTGCACCTCACATCAAGTCTCGAACAGTATATCACATCATTGATGCTGAGACTAACCGTCAATTCTCATTTTTCTTTACGGGCACTGCGCGGTCCACGTACCTGCCTCGCTTCAGTTCAAGACGTGTTTCGTCGATATTCCCTAAATCTCCCCCAACATTTCAGATCGTGCAAGCTAGTCCATCGTGGCTGTCCGAATATATCTGCCATCTACCCCTCTACACAATCTCACATCGTGGTTCCGAGCACGCCAATGGGACTGCTTCTTCAAACAGGGGCTATGCGGCTAAGAAACCCATGTTCTCATCAGCGCATCGCCCGCAGAACTTCTTCACGGCTTGAAACTCGCCATGTCTGCTAGAGGGCCATATCGCATAATCCGTGACCAGCAGTGATCCCAGCAGCTGGCTGTTGGTAGGCCCAGCCTGGCTTTACAAGATCAATGCTTACAAGATCAATGCTTACAAGATCAATGCTGGAACAGGTGGTTACTGCAAAGCATGCACTGCAATCGACTGCGATGAAACTAGGTCATCAAAGTAACATTAAACTCAAGCTAGAAGAAAGCAGTCACCCGAGGTTGGCCGCCGGCGAAAAAAAAAATGGAAATAACGCTATGCGATAATGACGGAGAAAGCATGCGCTCCTGCAACCAGGTATCAATGTCCCGAACCAAAAGACCGCTGTTAATGCATTTTTTATGCACACATGGGAAGAAAGAGCCATCCAATTCAACGCCCCCATGCTCATGACCAGCCTGTCAAAGACACCTCCGTCCAAACGCCTGTCGTCTCAACAACGAGATTGATCGCTGTTCCCGTCGCCCAAAGTGCAATTAGCCCATAGCCGATCTTCCGGGACAAGATCCACTTATTCATGGGCACAACGATGAGCAAGAGAAGTAACGTGATGAGTAGTGTGATGGCAGAGATCATCAGAGTGCCATCAAT